TCTCTCTCTCTCTCTCTCCCTGTCTCTGTCTCTCTGTCTGCGTGTCCTCAGCTTGCCTCTGAGGTTCTGGGTGAACATCCTGAGGAACCCTCACTTCATCTTCGACGTCCACGTGACGGAGGTGGTGGACGCGTCGCTGCACGTCATCTCTCAGACCTTCATGGACGCCTGCACCAAGACGGAGCACAAACTCAGCAGAGTCAGTTCACATTAAGATGACCCTACGTGTTCATCAGCAAACTCGCTGGTCCTTTGTCATTTTAATCTCATCCCGATTTAGATTTACAGTCGTGTATTTTTAAGTTGTATTTTTGCATGAAGAGCTGCTTGTTTTCCTACTTTATTTTAAAATCAACTCAATGTGAAATGTGTTTTTGTATGAAAATAGAGGAAGCTATTGTGATGGATGGAAACATGCTGAGCAAGAGCCCATAAAAGCTCATCAGAACAGGACTGTTCACTTTTATGCACATTAAAAATATGCAGAATTATCGATTAGCAGCTCCTGTTTGTAGTGTACTCGTATATTAACACACAACTTCACTGGATTACTTTGACACTGAAGAAACGTAAAAGAGGAGGAGGAGGGGGAGGAGGAGGGCTGGTGGAAAGTGTGTGCAGCAGAAGAGATAATTAAAAGCCTTCATCACAAGATAAAGCCGGGCTGTTGAGGCTCCACAGACGAGGAGCTCCTCTGTGAGACGTCTTCACTCCGACGAGTCCCGAGGATTCTGAGGAGCTTTGAAAAGGACCAAAGATCTTTAATCGGTTGTGTTTCTCTGCAGGACTCTCCCAGCAACAAGCTGCTCTATGCTAAAGAGATTTCCACCTACAAGAAGATGGTGGACGAGTGAGTGTGTTGCACTAAATATAACGTTTCATACATTTCATATTTCACCAGTTGCAAAAACTTTAACTTAGATTAAAAATGTATTAAAACATGTTGTTAAGTTAAGACACAAACGCCATTTGTTCATTTGAAGTATTTTCTGTGTGTGTGTGTGTGTGTGTGTGTGTGTGTGTGTGTGTGTGTGTGT